GACAGATTCGCCCCTCAAGCTGCAGTTGTAAAGCCTCTCACAGGTCCTCACTCATTTTCTCACTCAGCAAATCCTAGCTGTCATGTGTAAAATGTTGTGATAATGCAGTGGTGGAAATAGGGATGAATCGGATGTGGACCTCAGCCTCTAGCAATTCATAATGTCTCAAGGAAAACAAGCGGGACATGTTAACAATCACTCAACGTAGAAAGAGCACTGTCTGAAGCAGAGCCCAGGATCTGCGCTCAGGGAGGGGAGGCGGGTGAGGGTTCAGAGTGGACGGACCTGGGCTGAGCCCAGCGGGAGGATGGGGTTTTTAAGTGTGCCCAGGGCGAAGAAGGGCCCGGAAATACGAGCCTAGAGAGAGATGTGGGCACCAACACGGAGGAACGCGTCCTCTCAGGTGGGGTGAGGGTGGGCGTTCCATGGGGAAGAGGAATTCATCAAAGGACAGATAGCAGAGGAGTGGCCTCACCCCTAGCATTTTCTATCCTTTGTTAGGATGGACACAAAACAAGCCAAATATGCTATCACTTTCCCCCAATCACAGACTCACTCAGGATTTGGCCCCTGGTACTGTCTGGAAACTCTGAACAAATAACCTAAATCTCTCCTAAATGATGCTTACACATATTTCTTCAAATCTGCAGTTCAGTAGAAACTGAAAGCAAATAATACATGCTATTCATAAAGACCATATTAAGACCCATCTACACCCTCCAGAAAGGAATTTTACTTTTGGTAACTTTTCTCCTTCTACCTCTGGGAAGAAAACCTCCTGACTTTCCTACTGTCACCAAGCTCTTCAGGAAAGATCAAAGAAACTGCTTGGAGTCTAACGGAGAAGAGGCTGAGTGCTCTCCTGGACTACCCTGAACAACAGCTTAAGGACCGCAAGGGACCAGGGGTGACTCCTTCACTATCGGCAGCCAACGACCAGGAGATTATGGGCAGGATGATGGGCCAAGCAAATTCTATCCTGGCAAATGTTTAATCCTCTTAAGGGCAAAGGTAAGCATTGTATCAAACCCACCTGCCTACGGAGGCCTCCTCCAAACGCCTCTGAGCTGGGTTTCGTGGGCAATCAGGTCCCTCCAGCCTCGGCTCAGCTACTAACTCATGTGACAACTCCCTTTCCTTCTCTGGGCCTGTCGTATCATCTCGTCTGTAGAGCGAGGGCACTGGACTAGGACAACACACTTTCCAAAGTCTCTTCAGCTGTGAAACACCAGGATTCTAGGCAATTGAGCAAAATTACTCTTTTTAATCAATGGCCCCAAGCTGGGATTACCCAAAACCATCTCAGTTATCACCAAATCAGCTCATGGGCTGCAAAGTCTTAACTATGGGGAGGGAGGGAGAAATAAGCCTTGCAAATCTCTGTAGTTCTGTTCATGCTCCAGATCAGTACGTCTTAGACATTTTCATCTCAGGACCCCTTTAGACACTTATAACTCACTGAGGATCCCAAACAGCTCTTGCTTATGTGGACTCTGTCTGCTGATATATACTATATTACAAATTAAAACTGAGACATTTTAAAAATATTTATTAATTCATTTAAAATAACAATAAACCTATTTCACGTTAATATAAAAGGTTTTTATTAAAAAGTAACTCTATTTTCCAAAAAATAAAATGTGAGAAGAATGGCACTATTTTACTTTTTTTGCAAATCTCTTTAATGTCTTGCTTAATAGAAGCCAGCTGGATTATCTACTTCTGCAATCAATCTGTTGTGACATGTTGTTTTGGTTGAAGTATATAAAAAACCTGTCCTCACAAAGACACGTCGTTGGAAATGGAGTATTTTAACTGCTTCTTTGGACAACTGCGGTAATTTTTCTTTGATACTACACCAAAACTCAACATGTGGTAGTTTCTTAGAAGTTAATTAAAAGGTGGAATCTGAATTTTTTTCATCCTCTATTACATTAAAACCCACTGAATCTTTGAACAGATCGTTTATCCAGGTACAATTTCCTAACATCATGCTTTGGTCATTTGGAAGATATTGGTTCCCTGAGTTATACAGATCTTCCAAATTCTGGCAAATTTCATTACACAATATTAAAAAAAATCACATTTATTAATATCATTGCTGATCTCATTAGCAAAGTCTTTAAGTAGAGGGAAGCTGTCAAGGTCACAGTGCTGGATACAAGTTTTTTCTAATTTTGCTTGAAAGCTCAAATTTTATTGTGGGCAACAAACACTGCTGACTGTTTTTCTTGAGGTGATGGTCCCATTTCCTTCACTTTTAAGAAAATGTCTGCCAAGTACTCAGGTCTAAATAACCTATAATTTGTTGGTTCCTTCTAGCAAAAAAAAGTGTTCTATGAAAACAAAAAAAGCAATTAGTTCAGTTCGCAGCTCAATCACTCCAGGCCTTTCCCTTGAGACAAGTACCCCACTTTAACATGCAGTACAAGTGCCTCATGCATATTCACCATTTTGTCACACAGAATATTAAAAGACCTGTAGTGAAGGGTCATGGTTTAATAAAATTAGTAATTTGACTGCTTCATCAAGGACATGCTTCAGTGAAACTAGCTTATTCTTTGCACACACGTGGCAGCAAAAAATACATGACACATGGCATAATGTGCTGCCAGTGCCTTGATTCATGCTAAGGTGCCAGCGGTTTTACCGGCCATTGCTTCTGTACCATCAGTGCAGATGTCAACCAAGTGAAAAGGCAAACAATATCTTAGTATTATTAGGAACATAGTTTTGACCTCTCAGACTTCTCGAAACGGTCTTGGGAACCCCAAAGGGTTATGAAGACCACATTTTGCAGACAGCGGCTCCAGAAAACCTAGAGAAAGTCAGTTTCAGTCAACTGGTTCCTCAGTCTGCTAGCCTGGGGAAGAAGTAACTCAACAGGGCAATGAGGAGAAAAAATTGCCCAAGAGGGCAAAATGAGGCCGTCACCAAAACAGTCAAGAGCCTGACCACATCAAGTGTTAGGAGGTAACCTCACCAAGCACATCACCATGGAAGTCTTGGGGGTTCCTAGCTGCACCTCTGATTAAGGGTTCTACTGAGCCTTTGACCCCTAGAAGAGCCGGATGTGTGCACGCATATTGCGCAGAAGGCTGAGAGATACCTCTGTGTACTTTGTTCCTTTGCAAACTACATAACAGGGTGGGACAGGGCACAAATAGACAAGGAATTCAGCTCAAAAACTCATCCCTAACACTTCTCACCTACTAAAGATTCATGTGGGCTAACAAGGTCCCCAAATCAGCCTAGACCTCAATCATACCTGGCATGTTTTCTATACATAACTGTTCACGTGGATCCAGGCCCCCGGGCGTACTCAACCAATCCTCTGAGTCCCAAGGGCATCCTTTTCCCTGTATCACTTGTGACGGGACTGTGATACTTGCCGTCACTTACAGATGAGCTCCTGGTCATCCACCTTGCCTCACAGTATCAGGGCAGGATGGGCCCTTAGAAAAATTACACCCTGGAAGATGTCCCAGTACAAGCCCGAGGAAGGTATCTTCTGATCTGCTCAATTTCCAACAAAAAAGGGGTTATTTGGGGTTGACTGCTAGTTATAACCCAATGTGAAAAAAGAGATATTCAGAATAACTAACAGGCATGCATTAGCTTCAATGCACACAAAACCTATGAGTTACTGTCCTGAAGTTGCTAGCTGGTTGGTTTTGAACTTTGGAGAGGTCACCTTCAAAAGGAAAATCTACACCCCTCTATGGCAAGGCAGTGCGCAGAGAAGTTGATGCCTGAGAACAAGAAAGCAAAAACTGGAAAGGAAACTATAGAGAGAGAAGCTTGGAAGAAGTATTTCAAAATAACAAGTGTGACTTCTGAGGGGAAGCTATCACGTGTCATTGGCTGCATCTGGGGCGCCTTCTGCCGAGGGGGTTGGGGGGAACCAATTGGGTGGAGAAGGTCAGGGAAAGAGGGAAAACGCCCCGCACCAGGAGAGACTGCAGCCAGAGGGAGCTTCACCAGTAATGAGCTCCAAGAGAAGCGTCTATGGTCCCTTTGGGAGTCATAGGGGACAGTGTAAGTCTAGGACATACAGGATCCCTCAGTCACACCCAAACCACAAGGGAACACAACAAGGGTCTCAGCTAAGCTTGAATAAACAGAAGGGCTGCAAAAGATGGGATGCTGGGATTGGGGAGTGAGTCGGAGAACTCAGTGGAGTAGAAAACCCTCCTCGGAATTTTCTAATTTGAGTGGTGAACACCAGACAACCAGCATAGCTTCAGAGTGGGGTCTTCAATTTTACCTTACATTTGGGGAAACAGAGGCCCAGAAAGGGCCAAACTCAGCCCAGCTGAGTCTTGGGATTCAGTTTCCAGGGATAAGACTTCAGCAAAGTCTTAATGCAAAGCCCGTCTTGTCTTCTCTATCAACCTCTCGAATTTTTTTAAGTGCGGGAGAAGTTATTCCTCCTTCTTCCCATTTCTTCAGCCAAATGAACTGGCTGTTTGCAGAAGACTTTTGCAAAGGAGGCTTCCAATGGAGCTTGGAGGTATTTGAGGTTCTAGCACAAAGGACTCTCAGTTCTAAATTAAGAGAATGTTCTCTCTGGAAGTTTTTCTTATGTTTAGGCTCTTCCTCAGCACCAGCTTCCAGGACCAACCCAGCTGAAAGGAACCAAGAATAAGAAACAGACCAGAGAGTAGCAGGCAAGGAGCTCAAATCTTAGCACTGTTACTCACCCAATCTCTTTATATCCTATTTTCATCTGTGAAGTGAGGAATGGATAAAATGGGGGAGCAAAAATAACTCTAAGGGAGACTATGCTACTAATACTTAGGGACACGAATCCCGCCCAGGAGGGGAGAAGAAACAGCTACTTACGTTGTGCTGTTGCTTTCCCCAAACCGCTGGTAGGAGCCGGAGGAAGAGAAGTTGTTGAGGCCTTCAGAGGGGCTCTCGTCCGGGCTCACATCGGTGGAGCTGTAGTCGTGGTAGTCCTCGTTCCGCAGTCTCTGCGTAGACATGGTAGCTGCGGGGACAGGGCCAGCACTAAGACCTCCAGGGGCCGGGGCCTTTAGCTCCAAGCCTGGGGTGGGCTCTGGGGCAGAAGCAGCCATTGTCACAGTAGCTCAGTGACAGCTGCACTCTGGATTAAGGACAACCAGAGTGTCTGGTACAAAGAGAAATCAAAAAGGTGCAAAGTACACATGGGCGGGCTGAGCTCAGTCAGCTTCTGCCTCCCAGCCTTCCCATACTTCTAAATTTGCCACGGTAGACCTGGACAGCGTAGAGGCGAGGCACCGCTCGAGGGGGTGGGGGAAGAGACAGACAGGCGCTTCCAGGAAGCCTTCCCTGTTCCTTGGGCCTCTGAGCTAATTTCTTGGACCTTGAAAAATAGTTAAATTGTATCCGTGTCCATCTTCCTCAAGAGCAAGCCCTCAGAGGACAGGAATCGGAATGTGCCTACTGTATCCGATTTTTCCTCTGCACTCACTGGAGAAAGAATCTTGTTGCATCCAAGAAACCCCCTCTGGATCATCCAATTCTGTTCCAGCTGCCCACCAGTTCCCAGAGCCACAAAGGCTTTCTCCTTCCCTCTGCCTTGACCTCTGGCCTCTCCTCTATGGAGGTCATAAGTGACTCTCATCCGCTGACCTAGGACTCTTTTCTTGCAACCCAGCCTGCATACTGAGAAATGGCATCTGAAAGCAGCTGAGAGGAAGACCAGGTGCATGGGAGGTGCCCACCACTGGCCCTTGACTCAACGTCTCCCCTTCACAACTCTTCTTTTTTATTTTTACAAATTTGCCAATTTTTAAAAAGATGGCGAAAGAAGAAACCCTTCCTGTTGTTTGCTGGGGAAGGAAGGTGAGGGTGGTATCCCCTGGGTGGACTTTCTCAGTAATGCAACTACAGAAAAGAGGAGAACAATGACTTCTCTAAGACATACAAGGATCTGCACAGATAAAGATACATTTGGGGAGTCCTGAAGCTCCCAGAATCCTAGAGACCGTTGCTAACAGCCTTCGGAGGTCACTCCAAGCTGCTCACTTTACAGATGAAGATCAACCCCCAAAGATGAAGGGAGTTGCTCTGCTGCAGCCAGGCAACAGCAAAGCAGGAAACACGGACCCTGATGCCCTGCCTGCGTCTAGAAACGTCTACTGAACCCACTGCTAATTGCAGTGAGGGAATATTATAATGAAAACGAGTCAACTTCCTGTCCTTCAGGAATCCACAATCAAGTGAGGGAAAAAAGGTACATGCACATTAAAAATTACAAATAAAAATCCTGCAGACACTTGGCAGACTGGCCCCGCTGCCTGCCTATCAGGGGCTGTCCCCCAGCACGTGGCTGGACGCCCATCCTGAGTCTGATGTGCTATCTCAGATCCTTGGTGAGGAGACAGGACCCTCCGACAGCCATCACAACGCGCCACCCCGCCCGACACCCAACACTGGCTGCCAGAGGAGAGCCCTGTGCCAAGTGCTCCCACAGCTCCCGTCCCGGCAGATTCTTTGGAAACTGGCCCTACCCTGGCACCCGAGTGATCCAGGGATGACCTCATTTTCTCCTGCCAACTGTAAAGAATGAAGCACCTTACGCAACCTCACAAGGAAAGTGCTTGGCAGAAAGCCAACAAAGGGCTTGAAGTCCCAGAGAGGCTCCTGTCTAGTTTCAACACCAGGGCGACTTCACTGAATGTCTAAGAAGGTGTCATTGACTCCCATGCGGGAGGAATTCAAGGAAGTCATCTAGTTCTGGGGCAGATAAACTCCTAAAAGGGCCAGGAAAAAAAATTTATGATGTTTCTTAATATGAGCAGTTGAAAGCTGCTATTCGGGCAAAAGTTAATAAGTTAGTTTCTATGTGTGTCAGACGGCCTGGGTTCTACAGTGGCCTCCAGCACCAGTTTGCTTAGCAACCTGCAACAATTCTCTCTGTTTGTCTAGGGTCTGAGTTCCCAATGTGCAAAAGGGCGGGGGTGAACTAAAATATCTCTCAGCAGCTGTCTAGCTCGAATATTCCAGGAATCAACTCACGTACTTCCTTATGAGACAACGGCTAATTTCTAGTCTTTTCCAACATATCAAAAGCATCTGAAGAACAGAGCGTTCCAAGTGAATCCTGCATATCACTGAGGGAGAAGGGACAGAATGCAGGGACTGACAACTTCCCGGATCCCTCCCCATCAGCCGAGAAACCACTCTGTTGCTTACTTGGTACAGACGCTCAATTTATTTCAAACCTTCTTTACATTGTGTCTAAAAACTGAAGTTAACCCATAGCAGATTATTGCTAAGAAAACTGCTCAAAAAGAAGCTGGAATCTATAGATCTAAAGTCTAAAAACCACCGCAGGATGTGGAAGATGTGGCTTGGCAACTGCACGCACGTTGAAAAGGAAGAAAACAACTCCACTTACGGGTTCGAGTTGATGAGAAGCTGAACAGAAGTTCATGATATAATAATAGATGCCAAATGAGCTAATGCAATTCCAGGTTGCTAGGATGAGACAGAACCCCACAAAGATGGTAGCGCTGTTCTTGCCATGCAGCTTTCTGTTTCAGGCGGCACACGATAAAGGGAATAATGACCAACTGTGGTCTAGCGAGAGGACAGCACCAGGCCGGGGAGGGGATGGAAACCAACTAAATGAGGCACGGTCGGAAGCACAGAGGTTCAACCAGGAGAACCGGCAACTGCGGAGGTATGAAAACTGTCTTTAAAAGCTGCCTATGGATGAGACTCGTTCTATGAGGCCTCAGATTAGTCAGAAATAGGATCAGTAGGTGGAAAGGAAAGGGAGGCAGGTCTTCGGCTAGACTTAAGGAAGAACCCTCCATCAAAGGGAGTGGTCGAGATGGAACATATTGCTCCCGGGAACAGCGTGTTTCCCTCCCTGGAAAAGTCCAAGCGGCAGCCCTTTCTCAGAGCTGCAAAGCAGGGACTCTAGCGCAGGAGAGGGTGGGTCACTCCCTGGAGCTCCTTCTGTGGTTCTTTCTGGCAACCGAGGCCGCCTCCTCTTGCTCTCTAGCTGTCCCCACTGAGCGCAGGCCTCCATGGTCACCCCGCCCCTGGGCTCCCTTGATGAAACCTGGTTTCCACGTCTACTGCTGCAATTGCCAATTCCTGCCCTGTGGGAGATTTTCACAGAACCTGCGAAGTGTCGGAAAGAGGGGTGTAATATGTGAGAGTTCACGACAAGCTTGTCCTTCAGGTTCTTGAGGACAATGCACTTAATTTTTTTAGAATCTTCTTTCTTTCTTTTTTTTTTTCTTAAAGTACGTCTTTTTCTTTGGGTGAGGAAGATTGGCCCTGAGTTAACATCTGTTGCCAATCTTCCTCTTTCTCTCTCTTTTTTTTTTCTCTCCAAAGCCCCAGTACACAGTTGTATATCCTAGCTGTAAGTCATTCTAGTTCTTCTATGTGGGATGCTGCCACAGCGCGGCTTAATAAGCAGTGTATAGGTCTGTGCCCAGGATGCAAACCAGTGAACCCTGGGCCACTGAAGCAGAGCACCCAAACTTAACCACTCAGCCGTGGGGCTAGCCCTGACAACGAACTTAACTTATGGCCTATCAATGCAAAGCCAAAATCTCAATAAGAAATTTAGACCTAAAAGGGTGAAGTACTAAGTAAAAAAAGTCTGCATGATTGGTGGCAAAAAATATATATATATTTCTTCAAGTGTACATTCAACCAAAATTGCATTGAAATATCCACTACTGGTATAATTTGATAAATTTTCTTCTTTTCCCTTATGTAAACCATTTTCAACTATTAATATTCCCATTATTTTAAGGTTTTTCCACTTATTTCATATCTACTCTTCTTTGAATCTACACAGTTCTTATACTAATGAAGTTTAGTTGTAATATATGGTTCATCATTATATTAATACAACAATTTGCTTCACTAGCTCCCAATTGTTGGACTTTGGGCTTCAGCTTTCTTTTTTTTTTTTTAATAACTATCTTACATCACAGCTAAAAGGAATTCATACAAATAGTTTTTAAGTCATATCCTTGGACTAGAGCTAGGTGAATAGGCTCATTTTTATGGTTCTTACTGTAGAAATGATTGAGCTAACCCACCGTGTCATTAGCAATATATGGACATGACTATCTCTTTGTAATCCTGCCAATGTTGAATTTTATTATGTTTATTTTTGCTCTTTTAGATGGATGGGTGGCTCCGTTTACCTGTTTTATTTTACATTTCTTTACTTTCCAGCAAAGACAACTGACAATGAAAACATTAAAAAGCATTTTTCTCCCACCTATCAGGCTCATACTTTTGAAAATATTAAACTCACTTTTGAAAAAGTTAAAATGTTCTCAGGACAGCTATTTAAGAGTTTACTGACTGGATTCTATTCCAAATTCAGCACAATAAACAAGGTCAATTCCAACAAGAGAAGGAGAATCCATTTGAATACATTTAAAAGTCTCTTTCAGGACACATGGGAAGGACTGAAGTATTAATTAGCCTCATTACCAAAAGCTAAACAATACTTTCAAGGGTGGCTTGTAAATACATAAAAAATCATCTACTACAAACTATTAGAAGTAACAAGTTCAGTAAAGTTGTGGGATACAAGATCAATACATGAAAATCAATTGTATTTCTGGGCACTCACAATGAACAGTCTGAAAATGAAACTGAGCAAACAGTTCAATTTACCATAGCATCAAAAAGAATAAAATACTTAGGAAGAAGTTTAGCCAAATAGGTATAAGACCTGTACATGAAAACTACAAAACATGGTTGAAAGAAATTAAAGAGCTAAATAAATGAAAAGACATCCCAATATTCACGGATTAGAAGATTTAATACTGTTAAGTTGGCAATACTCCCTAAATTGATACACAGATTCAATGAAATCCCTATAAAAATTCCAGCTGCCTTTTTGTAGAAATTGACAAGCTGATTCTAAAATTCAGATGGAAATTCAAGAGGCCCAGATTAGCCAAAAGAATTTTGGAAAAGAACAAAGTTGGAGGACTTCCAAATTTCAAAACTTAGTACAAAGGTACAGTAATCAAGACAATCTAGTAACTGGCATAAGGATAGACGTATAGATCAATGGAACAGAATTGAGAGTTCAAAAATAAACTCTCACCTCCGTTGTCAATTGATTTCTGCCAAGGGTGCCAAGACAACTCAATGGGGAAAGAAAAGTCTTTTCAACAAATGGTGCTGGAACAGCTAAATATCCACATGCAAAAGAATGATGTTGGCACTCTACCTCACACCATATGCAAACATTCAATCCAAGTGATCAGAGACCTACACGTAGGAACCAAAACTATCAAACTCTTAGAAGAAAATACAGGCATAAATCTTCATGACCTTGAATTAAGCAATGGTTTCTTACCTATGAGAGTAAAAGCACAAGCAAAAAGAGAAAAAATAGGTAAATTAGACATCATCAAAATTAAAAATATTTATGCCTCAAAGGACACCATCAAGAAAGTGAAAGACAACCCACAGAATGGGAGAAAATTTCTGCAAATTCAAATTTCTAATAAGAGATTTGTATCCAGAACATAGAAAGAACTATTACAACTCAATAAGAAAAGGACAACACAATTAAAAATGAATAGCTATTTCACCAAAGATGTGAAAATGGCCAAGAACCACATGAAAAGCTACTCATCATTAGTCATCAGGTAAATGCAAAACTAACACCACAATGAGCTACCACTTCACCCACAAGGATGGCTAGAAGAAGATAATAAGTATTGGCAAAGATGTGGAGAAACTGGAACCCTCTTACACTGCTGGTGGGAGTGGAAAATGGTGCAGCCACTCTGGAAAACAGTCTGGAAGTTCCTCAAAGGGCTAAACATAGTTACCATCTGACCCAGAAATTCCACTCCCAGATACATACTAAAATGAAAACGTATGTCTACAGAAAAACTTGCACACAAATGTTCATAGCAACATTATTCCTAACAGCCAAAAAGTGGAAACAAATCTGATGAATGGATAAACAAGGGAATATTCTCCAGCAATAAAAAGAAATGAAGTATTGATAGATGCTGCAACATGGATGAACCTTGAAAACATTGCTCTAAGTGAAACAAGTCAGTCACAGAGGGCTATATATTGCATGATTTCATTCATATGAAAGTCCAGAATAGGGAAACCTATAGACAGAAAGTAGATTAGTAGTTGACTAAGGTTTGAAATAGGGAGTTGAGAGGGAATAGGGGATGACGGCTGAGATGCACAAAGCTTCTTTTGGGGTGATGAAAACGTTCTGACAGTGATTGTGGTGATGGTTGCACAAATCTGTGAATACACTAAAAGCCATTGAATTGTACACTTTCATTGGGTGAATTGCATGCCATATGAATTATACCTCAATAAAGCTACTAAAAAAAACACCCAAACAGATTTCTGGGCTCAATGTGACTCAACCTGAGCATTTTATTTTTTACCAGCTTACTAGGTGATCTTGACTACAGGTAGATTTATACAAAGCAGTACAAAAAAACTATCTTATTATAATGGGTACACCCCAGGCCTCACTTCCTACCAGAGTTCACGGACTGATGATATATGCAGACTAACAGTGCTGTCCTTTATTCTCAAACAATTACACTGGGTTGGATTTTAGAACCCAGAGAAGCAGCAAATTCTCTAGATGCATCTTCTCTTCTCTGTTGCTGGAATTCCAAAGACAGGAACACGGACACAGACTGTGTCCAGGGAAGTGAAACTTTCTGACTTCCACATGATTTGTTTCTAAACAGCGTCAGATAGAGTTCCATCTAACCTACCGCGGTTCATTCCATAACTTGAAACTTGTGCCTGAAAGAGTCTGGTGCGAGGGCAGCCACAGAACAGCTGCTGAGCTCAGCAGGCTCCGCACAGAAGGAGCTGAACAGACACACACGCTCACTTTCACCCACAAGCATAAAACTCACTCAATGTTAGCACCAGGCATGATTTATGGAAGATCGAGCTCCACCTCCCCTTCAGAGGTGAGAAAACCAAGGCCCCAGCTGGTCAGAGATTTGGGATTAGAACCCAGCATACCAGATTCCCAGTCAAGTGTACCTTCTACCGCACCAAAAATTATCTATCCTCCCTAAAAGCTGCCTCGGAACAAAACTGGGGCAGGATTAGGTCTGCAAGAGGAATTCTGCATAAGAACATCAGTTCAGAGCCTAGTTGTGTGACACTGAGCAAATTACTGCATCTCTCATCGTCTCAGTTTCCTCAGAAAAATGTCGTTAATAATACCTACATCACACTATTGTTACAAAGAGAGACGGAAAAGATGTTAAATACGTTGCGTGGTCCATAATGGACCCCCATTAATGAAAGCAATTGTGATTATTTCTACAGAGAGTGCAACGACAGGAAGTCAGTTCACTACACAAATAAAGGACTGCAGGACTTCCTCCATTCCATCCCTCTGGAGAGCTGAGCCCGGGCTCCGTCTGGAAATGGTGATCTGTGTGCCATGAGCATCCCAGTAACCCACAGACAGATTCCTGAATCCGTGAGAAAGGGAAGCACAGAGGAGCCTTTCCTACTACAGAAGGTCATTGAGAACGGCCCTGGGTGTCAATGCTTCCCAGAGAAACGTTTGGAGGACAAAAAAAAGAGACCACACCAAATGCAGCATCACATTATTTCTATTTTGGCATATTCAGAATGCCCATCCACTGGACCCCACACCCATTAAACAGA